GCCTGACATTTGCAGAGATGGTGTTTAAGGAAATAAAATGTTACAAGTGTGTTACAGCCTCCTGGGACACGGCCACTCCCCGGGCGGCTGTCTCCCCCACGCCCCTCCGTCTGTCCCTCCGCCCGCCCCCGGGTGATGTGTGAATGTGCCCTCCTCTCCGCAGGAGTGTATGTGCGGGGTCCCCTCCATCCCCCGTGCAGGGGCCCGCTCCCTCCCAGGTTGTGCCGTCTGAGGGAGAGTGATCCTGCCTGAGCAGGCAGACCCACGCCTGCCCATCGTCAAGGGGACGCCCTTGTGCCCCGTCCTGTGCGTGCGGCCTTGGCCTCCCGTATCAGAGTCCTCGGACAAGAGGAGGCGCCGTGGCCCGGCCTCCACCCGCTCCCGGCAGCCCGGTTCTCACCGGCTTTCGTCCCCTCCTTTCTGGACCCCTGCCCAGAGTTGGGGTCACGATGTCCTCTGTGCGCCCGCTGAGCCGTGCGGGGTGGAGTCGGCGCCCCCGCCTGGGCCTTTGTGGGGACGTCATTGCCTGGATGGGGAGGAGGCTGTACCCCAGCTCCACGGACTCTCGGGGACCCCGGGGCCCGGCTGGGCGGCCTCAGTCCTGGGCCGGTCCTGCCCGTGGGCTCCAGTTTTGCAGCTTCCTGTCCCTGCTCTGCGCGTGGCTGAGTGTCCACATGGCGTGAACGTGGCACCACTGCGACCTGAGCTGCACTTCCTGCCGTGACAGGGCGAGCGTTTCCTCTCCCCTGGAAAGTCCTGGAGAGTTTCAAACTGCCCGGCCCCTGGTTGGTCCCTGCACCCTGGCCAGGGCTGCGGCTCGTGAGGGCTCCTGTGTCTATGTTTTAAAATATATTTTATTGCTTTTATAGAGGAAGGGAGAGGGAGAGAGAGATAGAGACATCAGTGATGAGAGTCATGGACCGGCTGCCTCCTGCACGCTCCCCACTGGGATCGAGCCCGCAGCCGGGAATTGAACTGTGACCTCCTGGCTCACAGGTCAACACAACACTGAGCCCTGCCAGCGGCCAGGCCAGGGCTTCTTTCAATCTGGTGCCAGCACTGGGCAGAGCTCGCCCGGTCCCGGCTGTGCCTGCCTTGGACTCGGCCTCGGGAGGCGTGGGGTGCCCGCTGTCAACCCCTTTGAGACCGTGAGTGCTCACACCGGGCCCGGTGACGCCACAGCGACGAATGCCGACCTGACACCGGGCGTCTGTTCTGAACGTTTCCGTCCCCCTCCCAGGCACCGGGACCATGCCGCGCAGCCCCACGTCCAGCGAGGACGAGATGGCCCAGAGCGTGTCCGACTACTCCCTGGGCTCCGAGTCCGACAGCTCCAAGGAGGAGACCATCTACGACACCATCCGGGCCACGGCGGGGAAGCCGGGCGGCGCCAGGACGGAGGAGGGCCAGGGCCACATGCTGGTCATCCGCATCCTCATCCAGGACCTGCAGCAGACGGTGAGCCTGTCCCAGGCCTGTCCCCCACACACCCAGGTCTTCCCCTCCCACCCGCTCCCTGCCTGGTGGGCCCAGGCTCGGTCAGAGCGTCTCCTCCCAGAGGCAAAAGCAGGGCCAGGGGTCTGCTCCCTTCCGAGAAAAGCTGCGGCCAGTCCGCTGCGCCACCTGCTGGCCGCGTAGTGCAGGTGCCATTCCCGACTGTCACCTCCTGGCGGCAGGTCCCGGCACACGCGTGGGCCTGGTGCGCGGCCAGGGGTGTCCTCTCGGCC